GCCAGCATGGCTGGCTGGGGAATTCTGGGAGTTGAAGTCCACCCATCTTAAAGTTGCCAAGGTTGAGAAACACTGATCTGGAGTGCTTCTGAGCATGGGCATTGAAGGAGTAGGATGGGCTGACCGGCTTGCTTTTTCTAAGAGGGGGGCTGATACAGCGTTTGTAGGGGAGAAGCATGCTCCCTACTGCGGTTCCAATCTCCACAGGGCAATGCTCTTTCAGGTTCCCATGCCCACAACCTCCCCGTGCCAACAAAACCAAGCAGATTAATAGAGCTTCTGAGAAGCTGCCATAAATGAAATGCAAGGGAAGACCACAAGGGAAGGAAACCACACGAGACACACTGCAGCGCGCAAGGGAGGAAAAACGGCCCAAGGTTTAGTAAGGGAGACGTGCAGCTTGCCCGGCTCTAGGCTCCAAAACGTCAGCGTTTGAGGTCTCTCCAGCAGCCTGGATGAGGTATGCTTCCGATTATGGCCACCGAGGGGTGAACAGGATCCCCTCTGCACATGCCCAGAGGCAATGCCATTTCAAGTACTACTTTGAGGGTCAAGCACTCGCAATGTAGGATGAGCTGAAATGCCAAGGCTTGGCATCATTATGGTTTAGAGTTGGTGCAACCCATCAAGAGGCATCAGCTTGGAGAAAGCTGACATATCCTTGCTAAACTAAGACCACTCCAATGATCTCACTTTTATTAATATGCCCTCCCCACCAGCCACCATTGTCTGACTTTGATTTGCAGTAACCCCTGGTGACCACATGCAGCCTGAAAGGAAGCCCCCAGGGTCAAAAGCTGCCTTACCTGATGGGGCCCACTCCCTAAATGAGTTAAGATGAGCATTTTAGCCTCTGAGCATGCCAAGAGGGGCTACTGAATAAAGGAACAAATTAGGAAAAGAGGAGGGAGGAATCTATTTTCCCACTCCCCCTCCCACGCCCTCCCCATTTGCACACATTTTAGTGTCATTCACTGCCCTCTCCCTTGGGAGAAAGGGTGAAAAACACAGCCCTAAATTCATTCTGGCACCTAGAAATGCCATACAACAGAATGTTGTTTTGATTTTCCCTTTCTTAAACAGCAAGAGGGTGGTGGGGCTGCTTCAGCCATTTGCCCCATAAGTCCCATGGTCTCCTTCCAGGTGCATCATGCTCAGAATGGCTGCACCTGCGGCATTTCTGCCTGTGATTTGTTAATCAGTGAAGAAACCAAGGCACTCTGCCCATTGAGAGCTAAGGAGATCCTTTTTCATACAGGGTACAATTGGCCACAGATAACCTAACATTTTTCCCTTGCCAGGAATTCTTTATCTGACTCATCTCGTGGATAATAGCATGTAGAAATAAAATGAAGACTCATTTTGCATCCTGTTGGCCCAAGTAAAAGCTCTAATACTGAAATCACAATTTACTATTAGGCTGGGCTTATTCCTTAATAAAATGAAGCAGTTTGGGCCCAACGGCCTACTCTGAATTCCACACCTGCATTAACCTTCTACTACTGCTTGTCTTATATGCTCCCTTAGAAATCCACATCCCACTTCAGAATAAAACTCCAACACTGGCCAGCGAACGTGGATAATTTTCCCATCGGCAAACGTCAACCTTCACTGGTTTGCACATATCTCTGTCTTAAGAGAGAACCCCCCCCCCCCCATATCAGCGGTCTCCAGCTTTGGACACTCCGAGAGATTGCAAGCAGCAGGAAACAGAAGAGAATTCAAGGAGGAATTCACGGTGTTTATTAAAGGAGACGGGAGTCACCATCGCAAGCTACTGGGGGTAAGGCTAAGAGCAGGGAGGGCAGAGAAGGGAGGGCAGAGAAGGCAGAGAACCCTGCCGGGGATGCCCGGATGCCGTGTAGTGCCAGCTAACGTCCTGAGTCGTGGGTGGAGACCTGAAGCCAGAGACAAGATTCTCGTTTGCTTTCTCTCTCTTCCCCACCAGAAGAGGCAGGGGGTGGAGTTCCTACGGGACCAGAGGCTGGAAGACGGAGGTGTGAGGAAAGAGAAACAGGCACCTGTGCCAGAGAGAGAGAGAATTTATGCAGGACCCCCAAATTTGCTGGTTCACACAACCCACTCACCCTACACCCAGGTTCTCGCAGTTGGGAAAGCTGCACAGACGCCCTCTGGGAATCCCAAGATTCTTCAGCTGCCACTTTCCAAAAGTCCTTCTGTTCTGGATTCGTCCCATGGCTATTGCCCCCATCTGCCCCCCTCCCCTTAAGGCTTGCAGGGTGATTGGCACATTTCCCCATCCTTTCTCCTTACAACACTCATCAAGGCTGGCTAAGAAGAGGGAGATTCAACCCAGTTCAAGGTCGCGCCGTGCTCCGCTCTGAATCCGATTCTCCCAACTCCTTCCCTTCCAAATGATGGGGGACTGCCCACTCCCAGGATTTCTAGCCATGTAGCTCGGGGTGCTGGGAGTTGGCAGCCCCCTCAAACTTCTTGCTAATTCTCTCCTACTCTCTCATCGCTGCCCACCCACAATCGTATCTCTACCTCACCCCCCACCC